TTTTTAACTATGGAATTTACAAAATTGTTCTTCGATACGCGACTAATCCGTTAATGAAATTGTCACGACCAAGTTAACGATGCACAAACGAGAAGTATATGTTAAGTAGATTTTTCTCAGAAAGATTCTTTGCCAACGTGTGAGATGTTGGTGCGATGAAAAACGATGATTTGTTTGACAATGGATTTTGATAATTTTTCTTTTCTTTTAATAAACTGTTTACGACGTTTCTACACGAACTCTTTGTTTCATTCATTCCGCGGAACAGGATTGATCGTTTTGATCAAGTTTGATATTGTACTTTTGAATGGATAATGATTATATTTATTCGTAAAAATAATTATACTCTAATAAAAATAAAAATATTATATTCACTTCATTCTTCGTTAAAAGAAAATTATTATATACAGCTATGAAAACTTATTCGACCGATAAACGAATTCATGATTTCTCACAAATTTTCCAAGAGATTCATCGATTATCTAAGAAGCACAACGTATATACGATCAACTTATTATATGTATCGTTTAATAGAAATAAACCTTTCCAACCAATGAAAACGAAACCAATAAAAGTATCGACGTCCAATCGCGTAACACCGACGACAAGAACAACGAATTCCGATTGGCCGGAATCGAAACACCGATTCACACCAAACCCGAGTTGCCAAACCCAAGTTCGGTTAAACATCGATGCTCGATTTTAACGGAATCATCAACCGTTATTTCCGAAAAACTAACTTTCATCGCAAAATTAATTCTTTGTTGTTTGTTCTTTGTTCGCGCTTCTCCGAAATCGCGTGTTTGGATCCGATCATTTGGCGCGTGTATACGCTTCGCTCTGTGTACGACCTCGACAAGAAAAACTCTGTGTTTTCGTTCTCGAAAGTGCGCAAGAGTCAAGTATCCGTTGGGACGAGGAATACAAACTCTGCAAACTGTTGAGCGATATAACACTCCTCTCGTTCCAAATCCAAGCATTCGTGTCGCGAATTTCCACCGCGAGGAAAAGGAGAATCGGGAATCAAGCAAGGAAGAGCATCATGTCCGAGGGTCGGTGCGAATCGCAGCACAACGTTCCAGACTCGTTCGACCTTGGAACGAGCTCGGACCGAGAGAACTCGAATTTCAACTCCTTAACCCCGTCGAGCGACGTCGATCTGAGCCCGAGCATAGAAGAGCTGATAGAAAGGATCAAGATCCTTGCGCTGGAGACACCTAGGCCTCACAACAAGTTGCCGAGAGCTCCCTTCCCCACCCCAGCCAAGGCGTCCCCGGACGGCAGGCCGATGGCGGAGAACCCCCCCTCCTCCTCCTCCTCCTTGACCGAGGACGGCCAAGAGTTGGGGTTGAAGAGGTTGAAGAAAGCGATAGAGAGGCGTTTCGGGGCGAAACGTTTCCCCAGCCCCGGGAAAACCTCGTCCAACAACAGTGGCAAGCACGTGGTGGTGGACGGCAAACTGTTGGCGACGATGCTCACCGCGGAGCATCAACGTCGCCAGAGGATGGAGTGGGATCTGGAGGTGGAGAGGGCCGACCAGGTCCTCCCCCTCGACGAGGTGCCGATCTTCGACCACCATCACCACCATCACCACCACCACCACCTTCACCATAATCACCAATCCGACTCGATCTTCAGCCCCAAGACTCGAAGCGTGGTCTCGGACGCGTCCGTCCAGGTGACGAAGGGCTCGTCCTGCTCGGAGATCGACACCTCGTTCGAGCTCGAAAAGTTTCAACACGAGGGGGACGCAGTCGCGTTGTCCCTCGAGTACAGCCTGCGCGAGGTCTCCGAGGTGTTCTCAGTTTTCGTCAAGTGCAACAAGTGGATGTTGAGGAGCAGGATGGACAATAACGCGAGCCCGGTCAATCACGCGTCGTTGGACAAGCGAGATTTGGTGGGGGCGGATATTTTCAGGCAGGCCGTGGACATCAGTTTCGGAGATGCGGTCACGTACGAGCAGAGGGAGTTGATATACGACAGTTACATGCGCACCATAGACGTGAGCCAGGGCCAGTTGGAGGAGGTGGTGTGCGACGATTCCCGGGCACCGATCCTCCCTTTGGACCGAACCTTTGGATCTTTGGAGGGGGGCAGGAGCGGAGAGAGCGATAAAGAGGAAGTGGAGAAGGAGGAAGTGGTGGTGACGAGTGACGAGGGTCGAACGACGACGAACGAGGAGGAGAAGAGGGAGGATGATGACTCCGTTCACGGTTGCTCCGCGTGTCTTCGAGCTCGGTTGTCTTTGAAGTTCAACAGGCGGGAAGAATGGAAGGAGGAGGAGGAGGAGGAGGAGGAAAGGGATCCCAACGATCTTTCGAAAGGGGTCGATGTTGGGAAGAAGAGCGATTACTCGAAAGGAGAAGGCGGGGAGAAGGAAAGTCTGGATGAGGTTTTTGCATCGGAAAGGCTGGAGAGGATCGACGAGGAGGAAGACCCGTCCAAGGAAGGGACCAAGTCAACGGGGAGACGGAAGTGGCGTAGCTTGAGCGAGTACGAGAACGAGTCCTCCTCGACGCCGATAAACGAGGAATCCGGGAAGAGGAGGACCTTCTCCGAGTCGGACGTTTTAAACGCCAGCCTGTTCATAAGCGACGACTTCCTCTCCGAGGATTATATCAGGAAATTGGAGAGATCCGTGTCCCTTGTGAACGAGATCTCGAGCAATGTGTCCGAGGATCTTGCGAAGAGCGATACATCGGCCAAATTTCCAAAGGAGAAGGAGGAGGAACGAGAAGAGGAGGAAGACGTTTCGTCCAACTCCGATGATCTCGCCAAATGTTCGAGGAGAGGATCATCGAGATCCACGTCGTCGGCAGATTCCGTGGACGGGAGGAAAAGGAGGAAATTTCAATTGAATTTGAGGGAGGAGGACGAGCAGGAGAGTTTGCCCGACTCGACCAAGTGCACCATGGACTCGAACAGCGTCCATTCCGACAATCTGTCCCTAGATCTTGACGATGTTTACGACACGATTCAAAGATCCGAAAGGATTTCGTCTTCTTGCGCGATGGATGCAGGAGAGAACAGGAGAGGGGGGGATAAGAGGGAGGAGAGGGTCGAGATCGGCGAGTTGGGCTCCCTCTCCGACAGCGTTTACTTCACCCCTCCTGCTGATCAAGCGTCATCCGACGACAAACCCTCTTCCAAAATAGTTATTACCGAGGATTCGAACGAAAAGTGGTCGTCATCGAAGGGAACCGATTCGAAAGAGTGCGACGACGACGTTTTCGAAGACGTCGGCTCGATGAAACCTTGCGAAAGACGAAACAGTTTTCACTCGTTCCTGAACAGGATATTGTTCAAGCAGTCGAGATACGCGGCGACCAAAGGATCGACGAACGAATCGAGAATTTCGAACGAGGATGAGAATAAGAATACACTGAAGCTAAATATCGGTGAAACAATTTCGAGGACAAGGGGAAAGGGGAGGATAGTGCCGGAGAGATGTATGCCAGGTAACTCGTTTCGAGGATTAATCATTCTCCAACCACCATTGTTTTTAAACTAGAGTCAAGTTTTCTCTATTAATTCACAAATTTCACGTGTTCTTTCGAATCTGTGGAATTTCGATGCTGTTACAAATTTATGTACGAATATAATTATAGGAGTTAGAAATCGAACTCCTATATAATGTATTGATAATTCCTGACTTATATTAATAGTTGAAGAAAGAATCTCTATATAATAGAAAGTTTCGTCGAAAACTTGGGAGGTTCGAATATCTATTATATAAATTCCTGTGGAGAAGTTTCGTGAAACGTTTATATCGAACAGTCCCGATATACGAAGAAACAGGGAAGAGTCCAACTTTGGATCGTCCAACAATTTTTTCGTAAATTTAAGTAACTCTGTTTTAATCTTCGTCGAAAAAAAAAAAAAAAAAAA